AAGAAAAACTTTAATATAAATTTGACATAACAGCAAATGTACAACATTTCGACAATGTTTCATGAGGACAAAACCTTGTCGAAACGTTGTACATTTGCTGTTATGTTAAACTTATATTAAAGTTTTTCTTCATTACCCATTCAAGCCATCTCCAGCCACTATTTATTGACTACTTTAGAAAGTCAGATAAACTACAGTAGTTTGAGACATTTTATTTTAGTGTCCAATACATTTTTTGTGTACTAAAATACATATTTGAAAGCCATATTAATTCTTTTTGAAGAGCCAAAACAGTGAGAAAAAAATGGGCTTACTGAACAATTCACTCAAGTGCAAAAGACCTCAAGGCTAAAGTAGGTGTTACATTTTTTTGTTTTTATTAATGTATTTTATATATTGCTATAAATTTTATTTAAAATTAGTTAACCCTAAAAATTAGAAACTTATTAAATTAGATAAGAAGACATAAATTACAAAGATACTTGTGATCACTCTTAAAGGAATCCTGAAAAAAAAAGGTATTTTCGATTTCATTTCATATTTTTCAACATTTCATTCACTGTAGATAAATTATTTTACTAGTATTATGGCAGATAAAATAGAAATAAAGTTTTCCAAAAGCAAATTGATATTCATTTAGGAGGTTCTAGGGGTTATGCAAATGGAATATGAAAACTATGATGAAAAGAAAGAAGTATCTTCACTCTTAAAATGAAAATCACCTTACACTCAGTAAAGGTTTCATAAATTCACAGACAAATCTTTAGTAAAAATACTGTATTAAAAAGTTTGACTTTTTGTGTACAACATACTTGTAATGTTTACGAAAAACTTACCAAATTTTATGAATTTAAGTAAATTCAGATTTATAGTATAAATAGTATAATGGTTAGGAAGTCAATAAAATTGATCAAGCCCATCTCCACATGTTTAAAGGGTATGCAATATTGGTTATTAGAACAAGTGTTTAGTAGGTTGAAAACTTAAATTATGATAGCAAGAACAACAACAAAAGGATAACTTTTATATGTTACTGGTTATGACAATAAAAATGTCTAATATAATGTATATTATAATAAGACAACAAAACACTAATGTATACATAGTCTGTTGCTCTAAAATGTTTAATAGTTTTATAAACCTACCACTGAGGAAAGATTCAAGAAAATCCCTGAGTAATGGAACTTGGTAAAATTCTCTCCCTGGTGCTTCTGACTAGAAAAACATATATAAACAAGGAAGCCATTATTTTGGAACAAAAAAGTTGTGTTCTTTGTAAGATTAGACGTTTTTCACTTTGCATTCTTCTTATATAAAAATGTTATTAAAACATTAATATTTTCTAAATCCTAAACATATATATATCATGTGATGGTTGATTCTGTTAAACACAAAAAAAATTCATTCACATACATTTAACCTTAATAAAAGATTCATATGGTTAGTAAGTCCTGGATCCAACTTAAAACCAAACTTTATTTTTGTTGGAATAAAACCTTAAAACATTGTACTTGTATTAATTTTCAAATGTTTAGGATTTGAAAATGGAAATGCTCAAGTTATAAATACAATTTCTATCATTCAACATCAATGACATGACAAAGACAATGAAATACATCTCTCCAGTTGCTTAAAATTTAATTTGGTTATGGTTTGAGAATTTTCATATAATTATGATCTTTTCTTTATTAACATTGTTGTGAGCTCTTTTTTTTTACCTGCAAAATTGCTACTGCTTCTTCTGGTGTAATAGTTTTCTGTCGAACTAGACATAATAAGAATTCCGAGAAGACTTCAGGTCGAATTTGTTTAATAAGCTGGTAACAGCATTGAAAAAAAAAAGAATAACAGCTCAAATAACCAGTTCTGACAATCTAACAAAACAAGAATTCACATGCATCTGAGAAAATAACGAAAATCTACCATAAAATTCTTTAACCCTCTCCAAATGGGTCATGGATCAAAGGCCATGTCAATGCATTTGTTGACTCACAGTTAAAATTATATTGAACTACTATTTATGTTAGTAAGTTTGGTATCAAATTGTAGATTATAATTCAAATGTTAGTATTATATATTATTTAATTTCTTAATTAAAAAAACACACCTAAACATAAATTTCTGTGTGTCACGTGGTATCTTAAATGCAACACTGGTTCAAATTAGATGTTTGGGATGTCCAAATACAAAATCTATAGTTTCTTATGAATTAGGAACTCAAATTATTGATATTAACAAGCTAGAATATAAAATAAAAACATCCTATCTTTTCTATTTGCCGAGATATCCCTCATGTACTGAATCACACACAGTGGGCCTGCCCACCTCTTTCCATTTTTGGAAACACTTCCTTATACACACTTACTTCTGTCAATGACATGTGAATAACCAATCGAAAGCTCAGAATGTCCCCCTAGTGGCTTTCTCAGCCATTTTGAAGTATTATGATGTCATATCGTTCTTTCGATACAAGACTTCAAGCTAGTAAGTTGAGTCTTTAGTCTGCTCAAAATGAAATATTCTTTTAGACTCAAATAAAGCTCAGTTACTAAGCTTGATAAATTATAGTGGAATTCTATGGTATCTGTATTGTAAATTATGATTTTTTGGTTATGTCTAATGTATATATAAAACCTAAAAAAATTATTTCGCTTCACCTCCTTCACGTGCAAAATTGTATAAGATTTAGCAATCTAAGACAAGCAGCAAGACAAAGGTCATAACTAGAAGAGATAATTGTTTGCTATACTTCTCTATTTACTGTTCTATGTTTTAAGAAAAATAAGTTTAAGAACTTATTTATAAATAATGTATTATAACTGAAATATGACTGTATTTTATACTAGTCCACTACAACAAAGCCAAGACAGTAATTTTGTAAAGCCTAAAGGTCAGTTTTATATTATTGGATACAGTAATGAGTGCATGTGCGTCATGCCATTGTAACTTCTGTAATGTTAGCCAGATATGGCTGAAAGGTCAATATAATAAAAATAATAAATATATATAAATCTATAATGTTATAACATTTAAGCTATTTAGACTAAGCATCTGTGTTTTCAAGTTATAACCTGTAGTAATTCTAGAACGAAAAAAGCATAATTTATATTTACATCTAAATTTTTTGTGGTGGTTAAGAGATTGGTCAAATTTACTAAACCTGTACAGAGATTCGATAGTGAAAACAACAGATAATATAAAAGATTTTTCTTAACAAATGTTTGATAATTATCTGGAGGCTATAAAGATTTTACATGTGACATTTGAAAATTTTAAAACACAAAAGTATTTTTAATCTGAAAATGAAAATTACTTTGCATGTTAGATAGGCAACCTGCAAAAAGAAAAAAACATTACTTAAAAAACCTTATGACTTATTAAAAAAATTTTATATTTTGTGGACAAAAGCCTTGTAATGTTTATTGATAATCTGCCAAATTTTGTTTACTAAGTTTGCTTACTAAGTTAAGAGTTATAGCATGAAACTATAAAAAGCACAATATGGTTACGAGGTCGATCCTACGGACCAAACCTGTGCTGAAAGAGTTAATAAATGTTTTACTGTTGAATTAGACACAATAAGTATTAAGAGAAGACTTCAGGTTGAACGTTAACATTTTCTAACACTGAAAATGTATTTCCGATAGGTACTTACCCCCTTTAACCCATAGCTAGTTAGACCTTCATTTGTCTTCTAGGCATTGGTAAACTTTTTAAAAGTGCACTAGTCTTTTATAATCCTATATTTTTTGCATCATTGCAGCAACATGTGCTGATCATGTGATTACCCTCCACCAATCCCATTGCGCTCTCTATACAAGCACAGGTAGCTCCCTCTACCCTTGTGGCACAATCTACATTTTCGAGAATTGGCATATACAAACCCAAAAATACTGGCAAATTAGTGGGGTGGAAAAGTGGGAAGCGGGTGAGAGGAGGTAAGTACCTATTGGAAATACATTTTCAGTGTTAGAAAATCTTAACTTCCGAAACAGTACTACCTCTGCCCTCCCATAGCTAGATTCCCATATTGGAAAGATGAGGGGGCCAGTGAAGGTGCAAAAACAAATAATCAAGCAGAGAGCAACTGCTAAAAAAGGCAGGTGTGCCACAATTAAAATACAAAGCACACCTGTGGGGTATAGCACTACTTCTGAACCAGGTATGTTCTTCACCCAATAAAGAAGATAACACACGTATGGTGGAAATGAATAGAATACGTGGCTAGGGCTAGAAGAACACATACTAATAGGGCAATTGCGGTCCATCCAGGCAGAAAACATCCAGGGAAGTGCCTTGGGATATGATGTATTATACCGAGTGTGGTCCAAGGCCAAAAATAACATGGAAGTGCCTTGCATGAGTTTGTAAAATCAACAAGTGCAGTACACCCAGGCAAAAAATACAGGTGAAACACCCTCGATTGATATCAAGATAGTCAAGTGAAGTCTACTCAGGCAAAACCATCTGGGGGAAAGCCCCTTGATATACAGTGGATTATGCCAAGTGCAGTCCATCTGGGCAGGAAACATCCAGTGGAAGTGGCAAGGACCCCACTAGAAGAAAGAGAGGGGGAGATGCATTGAGGGGTTCGGATGAACAACCCACCAAAGACAGTGCAATGGATGTCTGTTTTTCCCTATTTTTAAAAGCAAAAAGACCCAGATTGTAAGAATCACGGGTCAGCAGGAATGGGCAAAAATCCCTATCTGCTTTACTCATGAAGTTTATGAGTGATGGTCATTATGATATATATTTATATATATAGATAGAAAAATATTGATAAAAAAATGTGATATATAAATGGAGATACACTACCAGAAAAGCTTCCAGTGGTCTTACAGAAACACCCCATCTCCACAGCGAGCTTTTGAGAGTATACAGATATAGTGCTAAGATATAAAATTCAGCATACCTGACCAGGCAACACCCGCCACCAGGTGGGATCCTGAAATGATAAAAGAGAGAGAAAAAATAATAATATGACAACTTACCCCAGTCACAGGTGAACAGATGTGTGTGGAATTGCCACAGGAGGAAGTCGATATCCTCCCAAGGAAGACACAGCAAAGTTGTGCAAAGAAAGAGTGACAAAGGTCAGAAAGTTATCCACATACTGGCCTCAATGGTCTCCGTCAAATGACGATGGAGTCGAGCAGTTAAAGACAGTTAGATGACGAATTAAGTGTGAAAAAACGAAATGTATATGGTGACTGGTCAGGGACACATCCAAATATGCCAGGTATAGGAGTTGATGAACCCAACCCATGAGCATAATAGGAGAAAGATCAGGGAAAACAAGAATGTCATGGAACAATGAGACAGAGAAGAGAACAACAAAAGGAGACAGTACAAGCCAAATAACAGAGCAGGAAATGAACTGGACAAAGGAGATGATCTGGAAACGAATTGGAATACAGGTGGGAAAAGCAAGGGAAGAGAAGAAAAGGCAAAACAACCTACCTCAGCAGCCCAAGTCCATGGAAAGAATGCCGGATCTGAATAACTAAAAACATATGAGAAATTGTAGAGAATGTCATAAAAATTGGAATAATGATGATGACTGTATGCTAGTAGGAGGATGATTGAGGCCATACGAAAAATATCTTACAAGGAACAAATTGCAATGAGTTCAAAGGGAGAACCAGACAGGATAGGAAGAACAATATGGAGATCCCAATCTGGCAGAACAAAGGAAATGTGTCAGATGGACCAGATGAAAGAAATGGAACAACTCAGTGAAGAGAAACTTTCTGGAAGAGGGAGAAATGAGGAAGTTTGACAGGGCAGCTTTATAAAGAGCAACAGTTGAAACAGACAAACCCTGAACAAACAACCAGATGAAGAGCTGGGACAGGTGATGAACATAAGTACAGGAGGGATGAAATTCCTGGTGAGAAGACCAAAGACTGAAGCAAGACTTATGCCTCTGGTACATAGACAAAGAGGAGGGGCAAAAGAAGTACGCAACGAAAGATGTGACCAAAGTGGTGAGTCCCTGAGCTATGGCACAGGACCAGACAAAGGGCACAAAGAAAGATAGAGTATGGTGACAACAGAATGAAAAATGACTGATCATGGTGGACAGAAGAGTGAACAGGACAGAGAAAGGGGCAGGGTCTGTTGCTCCATGAAGGGCCAAAGCAGACGGAAATATGTTGGTGCTGGCCAATCCGGAGCAACTAACAGAACACACGAAGGACGGGTCTACATAAGGGAAAAGATCCAGAATAGGAGGAGTCTGAAGGAATGTGGAGATGTCTGGATGAAAAAAATGTCAGAACAGAGATGACTGAGGAGTGGACAGGACAAGAAAAGAATAAGGCCAGTAAGGGCCAGAGCAGAGGGAACCACATCTGAGTGGCCAATACAGAAGAATCAGCAGAGCACAACAAGGTTTGGTCTAGATAAGAGAAAAGACCCAGAAGGTTAGCCAAATTGGAGGGTAGAGCATATCTTAACCAAAAACATCTATCTACACAGCTGAAGAATGAGGAACTGAAGACTAAAAGGAAGAAAGTGTGGCATACCAGTGAATGGAAAACACATACAAATATACAGTGTTCCCTGTTGAGAACACACCCACAGAAAAACTTGAGGATGAATAGAGCATTCTTTGGAAAACCTAGTGGAGACGTGATAAGTGATCGGCCACAAGAATCAGAACTCAGGGAACACGACCCACCAGAATGGTCACATCAAGGTCATTGGCCCAATATACAAAATCCAGTCTGACCAGACTGAGATCAGTACATGGTTTCCCCTTTCCAGGTGATAAAGTTGATGATAGTGAAATTGCAAAAAAAACCAAAACCAT